ATTCAGAAAGAAAAGAAAAAAAAAAACTAACCTGTACAAGAAATCTTTATAACGAAATTTCAGAGATGAAGGTGTAAGTCTTACCATTCGCAGACGATTAGTGATAAATACGGCTTAATGCGGTTTGATTTGTTGAAATTAATTTGAATTTTTATGGTCCCCATTTAGATCTGTGTAACATTATAATTACTTAATTTGTACACGCACACCTAGTTTTAGTCTATTTTCATATTTTATTACTATTTACAGTAATTTAACATGCATTGTGTTGCGAGTCATTTACGGGAGTTACACTAAATTTATGAGTCCTGAAAATTAACGAACCTATAATCGATCGTAATAAATAAATACCAGGTTAACGGGTTATTCTTCTCAAATCGATATAAATGTTAGATTACATGCAACCAATTAACCCTTTATTAGAGCATCAAAAGTTTCAAGATTGGTATCTCTAAAATTAAATTAATTCCGACGTGCTAAACATCTTAAAATGAGGTCGATAATACTGTATTAAATTAAACCAGTGATATTTAACATATTATCAAATTTGTGTTGTCTAAATATATTGTACGATTTTATATAGCTTTGTAATTTAGATTTGTTTAAAGTTTATTAATAAAATATATAATGCAAATTATTTTAATGTGAAATCTTAAAATTTTTGAAATACATTTTTAGCTATGTTAGGGTTTAGGATTAGAATTATTAATCAAAGAGCATGTTTTTAATATATATTCAAATAGAGATCTCAAACTTTGGCATCGTCGGATTTTAGCATCAACTCGCGTACATTTATTAAAATTCAAAAATTTAACGCTCGAATTGAGTCTTTCATAAAATTTTATTTATAAATTGAAACTATGTTAGGGATGTCACGGTCCTGCAAGGGACCAATTCTCGGTCCTAAATCGAGGACCGGTCTGGACGTTCCATAGCTTATAGAATGGTAAAAAAAAAAATTGTCGATGACTGTACCTATAAGTTTCCGATGTCAGTAACTTATTGATTTTTGACTCTGTAACTTGTTGATTCGGTCATTGGCAATTTTTTCGATTGTCCCAGGATTTATGTAGGTATGCAGCGATCATTAAAACCACGTAGCTTATTTTGAAAACCAGCCAATAGACTGATTCATGGACCGATTTATGGACCGGTCCAGTCCGCGGTCCTCTGCTAGGACCGAGACCGGACCGGGACTGATAATGATCAGAGTTAAATCACAGCTCATCTAATTAAACCAAAAACTTACTGTACGTATATAAGCTAAGCTAGAAAAGTACATTTTTGTACATTACAGCATTACCGTAAACTGCGACTGAGTACCCCTATGATTTATACTCGGTGAGATTTAGTGGCTTAATTTTGATTTATACCCGGGTACTATACATTATATACTTCAAAGAGAAGTACCCGGAAATATCTATATATGCACATATATATATGTATATAGCAGTTCAAACAATGTACCTCTCCTGCTTCGGTACCCCGGGTACAGTACTCAGTCACAAGAGTCAGCAGTTTACGGTAAAGCTTGTTAAGCTGGTTGCACCATGTGTGTTAATGAATCCGCAGGTGATAGGCTTTACGTATTTATTACAAATCGGACATCGAGATTTATGCTCATCTTGAAAATAAAATGAAAATCTTGGCATTTAATTATTACTCTGGCCTTTTCCGTAAGCTTCTCATAAATTGTTCTTACAATATCCTTGGTAAAAAGAACGTTTATTGAACTTATTTTATCTCTATTTTATCAAGAAATATAAAACATCTACATTCAAAGTTAAGGTCATCCACAGCTTGCCTCCAGCATGGTGCATTATCATTCCATGGCCTAAACACATTAGATTATGTTAAATCTTGAAAGAAATTAGCAAAAATAGGATATTTGACCACTGTTGAGTCTGAATCAAAGCATAATATGCAAAGTTGACTCCTTCTGGATCTACAAAGTATGGAAGTCTTCTAATTGTCTGCCGACAAAAATGAGATGTTGCTGATCAGAGGAAATGTTTACACTAATAAAAATTTCTTTTTTAACATCTTCACTGCTGTGGAATAATTCGACTCCAAGAGCAATTGTCTTGTCAGTAATAATTCTAACAAAATTTACATTTTTATCCAAATTGGATTTCACAGATATCCTCTAAAAAAGTAAAAATAAATTTATTTTTATTTAAATAAAAATAGCATTACTATTATACCCAATAAAGAAAACTCAATGTTGTATTCCTGAAGTTGATTTTATAAAGAAAATGAAAGCTGCTGGTAATGATCACGACCATAACATTTTAGGTCTTAAAATTTATCTTATCGATTATTTTATACACTTTATATATTTCACCAAGTAAAACCGTTTAGGTTATGTTGCTAATATAACTTTATCCCTATAACATAAATTTTTCATAATTTTATTGATTCATTTATCCACATTTAGAAATTATTACTTAGTCAACATATGATGCGAAAGAGAGACGCGAAAGAGAAAGAGGCACAACTAGAGATTAGGTATCAAAAATAAGATAAACAATTAGAAGAATGTGACATGAGAGAAAGCTTATAGCAAAAATCAACGTATGGTTACTACCTTCAGGAGAGCAATACTTAATAACATCGAAATGGATTTTATAATGGAAACGAGAAAAAGGACCCTTAAGGGAGGGTCGGGTATTCTGGCGCACTTAAGAGTTGCTTATATAAAAATTTTTAGGAATAGCATATTTATTTACAAAATTTATTGAAACAGATTACTCAGCTAAATAACTATCTGCCAATAAAAAAAAAAAAATCGATTTTAGAAAAAAAATATTGAAATATGAGCTTTCAAAATCTATGCGCTTCGTGTTGTATTATTGCATCCTTCCTCCGGACATTACCCAAATGAGGAAATATATTATAAAAATTAAAGAAGCTTAATACTGTTATAGTTAATGTCGGCTTTTACTTATATCTTGTGGTTTAGCAATTAGAATCAAAAAAAAAAACTTATATTATTTGATTCCTCCCAGTAAGACGAATCGAATGATACCAAAATTTTTCGATTCTGATCAGCGTATCGCGAGATATCATCAAAAAACATGAGTGCGTCACAATACACGAAATTGTCGCGGCAGATTATCGATTTTGATTGGCTGTATTATGTAAAAAACATGTGACGAGTCTTGAGATTTTTTA